TTTATATTCATGAGTAGATATATTTATTTGTATTATATGTATGTAAAAAGTACTTAAATATTTATATCAGTTGTCTAATATTTACAAAATTTTATCTTTATATTTCTATTGTTTTACAGTAACTACTGGATTACTTATCTAAGCAAATATTCGTCTACATTTGTCTCATAAAAGTAAATAATTTAATTTATAGAACCGACGGCTGTTACTAATTGATTGATTACTTTCCGAAGAGTTTGTTTTTTCAGTAATTAAGAGTCCAAATACCCGTGATTACAGGGTTAGAGCAGATATCAGTTGCTTTGGCTTCTTATTTAGCGAAAAAATATATTTACTTATCTCGTGTCGTATTGAATACAAAAAGAATTGTATGAAATAAATCTATGCAAATAGTTGATTGAATTGAAAACTTTATACTACAAAATATACAATTTTATAATACCTCTAGATATCGATATTTTGGACAGAGGTAGATTTACCTCTGTCCAAAATATCGTTTATACATAGCTATAAAATAAATAATATTCTTTTATTTTTTGTTGATACTTTTAGGTGGTTGCATAGATTCTTTTTCCAATTTCATCATAATAATTGCTGTTTCTTCATCCACGGTTATCCTTTAGATTGTATAGATAGAGTGTTTCCATATAGAAAAGCTTCGCTAAATACAGGCCATTTTTTATCGATGTGGGCATGAATAGTTAGTGAATAGAGAACTAATCAGGATGTTTGGCACCAGTCCAAGCTAAACTGGGAGGTTCTGGCATTTTCAGACTTTTGGTACTTTTTTAATTACTATAAGTAATTAAAAATGTACAAAATTATGTTACACGTGATGATTTCAAGCATTATACTACAAATAAGAAATCTTCTTACCTTTATTTCAATTACCTACATAAATTTTGGGATCGACGTAATATGTCTTTATCTATATTACCCAAGCATTTGTTGTAAGAACATGTATATATATTTTATTATATTTTTTTAACAGCTTGTTGCCCAATTTAGATGTTAGTTGTGGTGGACAATAAAAATTATTGTTATTTATGATTGTGTGATTATACAATTCTGTGTAAATATAAGAATAGTGTAAACCATAAATGCCATTAACTGAAGGGAAGACATTCTTTCTCAAATGTTAACTATTAATGCAGGCTCTAAAGTGCTTTTTCATACTACATTTGAAGGATCGAAGGTTATACGATAAACAGACAAACCTATCATAGAAAAGTTCATACAAAATAAAAAAATAATGACAATCAAGAAAAGAAACCCAAGAACAATAGTTGGAAAACTTTTACCCCTTTATAAGTATCCAAGGATATCGAAGCAATAGAGTTTCTTCAGTACATCTCTTTATCATTATCATCATCATTTCAGCCATTACCCGTCTACTGCTGGACATAAGTCTCCCCTATAGATTGCCATAAAGAACGGTCCTGAGTTACCTGCAGCCATTGGCTCCCTGCAATGTATTTCAGGTCGTCAATCCATCTTGTGGGGGTTCGTCTTACACTACGTTTTCCCATACGCGGTCGCCACTTAAGAACAGCTCTTCTCCATCAGTTGTCGGTTCTTCGAGCTATGTGACCAGCCCATTGCCACTTCAGCTTGCTTATCTTTCGGGCTATGTCGGTTATTTTGGTTCTTTTGCAGATATCCTCATTTCGGATTCTATCACGTAAAAAGACTCCGAGCATAGCCCTCTCCATAGTTCGCTGAGTAACTTGAAGCTTTTGCATACGAGCAATGTTTCGGTTCCGTAAGTCATCACTGGCAACACGCACTAGTTAAAGACCTTCGTCTTCAAATTATGAGGTATTTCGGATGAAAGGATGCGGCGTAGTTTCCTGAACGCCACCCAGCTGAGTTGAATTCGTTGGTTGACCTTTTTTTTTTTATACCACTGAGGTGGCAAACAAGCATACGGCCCACCTGATGGTAAGCGGTTACCGTAGCCTATGAACGCCAGCAATACCAGAGGTATTACGCGCGCGTTGCCGACCCTGAAGAAACCTCTTTACCCCCCTTTTGAAGAACCCCATGCTGTAGTCTCTCGGGAAAACCTCGGCAGGGAGCTCATTCCATAACCTGAGTGTTCGTGGGAGAAAGCATCTCTGAAACCGCGTTGTACGCGACCATTTAGGCTGTAAGGTATGAGGGTGAACTCCCTGTCGATGGCGAGCCGTACGATGATAGAAAGTGGCCGCAGGCATCATATTGAATAATTCCTCTGAGCACAATCCGTTGTATAAGCGGTAGAACACGCAGAGTGAGGCAAAATCTCTCCTAAGACTTAAGGGTTCGATACCGCTTGCAAGCATGGGATCATCGACAATTCTCATAGCTCGTCGTTGCACTGAGTCGAAGGGTTCAAGCTGGTATCTAGGTGCTCCCGCCCATAAGTGACAGCAATACTCCATATGGGGCCGGATTTGCGATTTGTAAAGCATTAATCGCTGATCCGGCGTGAAGTAATGCTTCGCTCTATTGAGCACACCGAGTTTTAACCTCTCGGTTGATGTTAAACTTACCTATTCGGACAACTTGTTCTAGGTATACATACTCATCGACAACTTCGAGCGTAGTGTTCTCAATCGTAACTGGTATATGTGTGACATGGATGTTACACATGATCTTACTCTTGTCTCTTTGTCGTATGGTATAATAGAGCAAAATTTTCTCATAATACGGCAAAGGGGGTGATAATTTTTCTCCATTGAAAAAACATTTTTCGTCTTTACAGCGGTATGATCCAGAGAGCCATTAAGTAATTCTAGCGGAAGCAGAGACAATTGACAGAAGTTGCTCTCAACGGATTTGGCTGTACGTCAAAAGATATGATGACTATTTCTGGGGTGATATAGAAGTTCCTGATTAAAATGAGATGTATACTCTTGGCATCTACTTTGACGAATATTTTTAAAGGTCCTGGAAGCAAAGCCTTAAAATAACGAAGGGCTCCGTTTTATGACGCTACAGCACAACACCGAATATAGGATTCCATTCCACATCGATTTTCGAAGTAATCTGATCTTGATCCTTAAAGCAGAGTTTCTCCTAATGGTTGTGTGCAAAATATTCGTTTCTATAAATTGAGATAATTTGTAGACGAGTAATGCCATACCAATATTGAGTTGTGATGAATGATGTTTACAGCACAGTACTAATGACCAGATAATGATCTGAGTTCCTTAAAAGACCTCTGATCGAGATTCCATATCCAGTTAAAAATCGAACAAGGACTGTTTATAGCCGACTGTATCCTGATAATGACTGAAAGCAATTGCATCAGACCATGATTCAAGATTAAAGCATAGGCGGTTCTACTTGCATAGCCAATAAGAAGTAAATTTCACAAAAGCTCGTGATAAACATTGATGTCACTCATAAACACGAGGTTGGCGGTAGGAAACTGTATTAGCGTGTCAGTATTCTATTCAGATGGTCTTAGTGTCGAGTTGTCTTACATTCTAGATTATTATTATTAAATTGTGTTTAATATGATTATTATTATTCATTGCCGAAAGTAGCGGAAATTCCGATTCTTAATTTTTAAATCTTTAACTGCTTCAAAGAACCGGGAATTCCTGGGAATTTTTAGTACGGGGATTTGTGGCTCATTCCCTTGTGAATACCATAATATGCAGTTATTGTTCAGTATGTAGGAGAAATGTATACTATAAAGTTAACTTGAAAAATAAAACGATACAAAAGTCTTACGAATATATTATTTGAAATAACAAGACAAACAATGCCTAAGGATTCGTAATGATACTTATTTTTAGTGATTACTTTGAATTATATATAAATGTGAGCTTAAAATACGTTTTCGTTTTCAAATAATTGAAAGTTTTTTAATTAACAAATGTACATTAATTTGTAAACAATATATACATATATATATATATATATATATATATATATATATATTGATAATATATTAGAAATAATAGTTGTACAATGTCGATAAAAGGATGCGTTTTGTTTAGGTTAAAAAAATGTGTATCAAAATTTATTCAGCTAAATGTCACTTCAACTCATTAATATTGACCTATTTTCGCCATTCATACTATTTTTGACATACATACTTGATTTCTCTATTGAATGTCTGTAATAATATTCCATGAAAATAACAAACAATGATGATAGAACTATAAAATAAATAATTACAGAATTTATTTAAAACATAGCAGTTTATTGAAGAATAAAATATATATTATTTATTAACTGCTTCCCGTTGCTTTGTCTGCATGAATCAGTGTATAGACTCATAGTTACATGAGTTTTATGAGTATAGTATATAGATAATAATTCATAGAGTATCCTATTTGTTAAGTTAGGATACAACTTATCTATGTATAAAATTTTATTCAAACCCATTTAGATTTAGATGTGATGGAGTTACAAACATAAGAACATCTTTACAAACTTTCACCTTTGTTATATTAGTAGAATTATGATAAATCTGTAATAGCGGCGGCGACCTCTGTTGCTGCACCTCTATTGTGTATAGATACCATAGACATATTATTACGTCTGTGTGTCCTATACCTGTTGCAAGCATAGAGTGTGCCGTAGCGTGGACATGTCTGGAATGTTAAATGACTCGCTGTCTGCCGGATGCCAGTTTATGTAGATATATTGTAGATCTAACGTCACACTAACAATATTTAATCGATAACTCACACACATCAAGCAACTATTAATGCTTTAGAGGGATTCCTCTCGTAATCAAGTATTAATAACTTAGATATTTTACTGGATAAACATAAACAAAATTTACTAATGAAAACAAGCACGAATTGTATCTTTGATAATACTGGCCGCAATACTATTACTAATATAAAGGCCTACCATTGTATAGTGACGCTTATTCATTGATTGACCCAAATCGTCTAACAATAGTCGGCCCCCTTAGTGGAGCCTGTAGTCGGCATTGTAGTCTTACAGATATAACTTAAAATTAGTCTCTTTAAAGTTATCATGATACAACAGACCTTACGACTCTGAAGCCAATTTTAGATTTTCTCTTAATCCTTATGGCGTGTCGTCTTCGAGCCAAGGCGGCGACGCCTGCGAGTATAGCGCCTTCAGTTTCACGGTCGCTGGCGTCCTCGCCGCTGGACTGGTGCTGGAGGAGAGTGCAGTTGGGAAGGGGCACGGGTTTTGAAGATCCCGCGGTTCCCCGCCCCCACGACAGCATGGAACACCGCAGAGACCTGAGCGTCTCCGTTGTACAGGCGCTGTCACTACGTCACCATGCAACAACATATCGGCGCACCGATAGAGCAACAAACTCTGCGTGACACTCGAACCACGCGCACTGGACACCAACAACTTTGCACTTACTAACACTTTGTGCTCTAACAAGATAGGAAGTCACTTAATCATTAGACACTGTTATTAAGTGCTTATGGAAAGCACGTGGTGTTTAAGTGTTGTGATAAGTTATGGCAGCTAGTGGAATGCGCGCGCATGTTTCTCCCGGCATTATCACTGAACAAACAAAGGTATCTATGCATACACACTCGCAAAGTCTGAATATCCTTATTATATGGTGATATTATTAGTTTTATACATGCTTAATTTTAGCAGAGTTGTGTCTCGTATCAGACTACAGTATATATGTAATATAGGTACAGGATAAACTGAACAATTACTATTGTTATTAATTATTTTACATTGTCTTTTGTCGCTAAATTATTTTTACTTTATACTTCTATTTTGTTAAATTTACTCATAAATATAATAGGTGTCATTACAGTTTTAAGATCACCATTGTGTCAGCTTAAGTAGAGAATAGTGAATCATGTGAACCTTCAAATTCAAATGACATCTTACAGAAAAAAATTGGACAAAGTAACATATTATTCAACTTTATGTGCTTGTAATACAGAGGCCGTTTGACGATATAAGAGCAATTTCAATAGATGTATTCAACACTTTATGTCAGCTGTGTGATGTTGGGACGTTGCGCGTCGTAAAAATACCCTTCGTTTGTGTTGTAGGTACAAACGAAACACCGCCGTGACATTGGGGCGATAAATATTTTATTTCACCAACACTTAACCTATATCACTTCACCAAAGAGCACAGTGGATTATCTGGATTTTCACATTTTCTTATTTTTACGACACTTTTAAAGCTATCCACATTAGTGAATATGACTTGTTTATTTAGACGTGTTCGGCAGGGGGAACATACGCGTGAACTAAAGTAGGGAGTACCTTTAGATCGCGTGCGCGAGCGCCGCGTGCCACCGCGTCTCGCATGCAGAGCGCCGGCCGCTGCCGCGACATTCGCGCCGAAATAGAAATGCTCCAAGTGACGCTGGCGACGTGACGTGACGCGACGCCTGCACAAAGGCACTTGTCACCTTGACAAAGTGTCACCATAGAGCACGTGGGCCACTAGATCATTACTTGTTACTTTGTTCAACAAACGAACAGCGTATTCGATTTGATGTCAAAAAACTAAATATTTGCTTATTAATATATTTTTTTATTTATTTAAATTCGATAATTATTTACTACATGTTTATTACGACTTTGTTTATGCCAATAAATTCCCATTGAATTTATATAACCTATCTAATAGCATATAGTTTTTGGATATTTGTGAAAGATTGTATAGCATTTAGTAAAAACATTTTTAATTTAGTACGTATCCATAAAGAATTTTATAACTTTTCTTTTTAAATATTTTTTTTTGTTACGTTATTTAATAATCTTAAATTTCCAGGTATTATAATATTTTGGGACATTGTGGGTACAAATTATTCTCCGCTTTTAACTTTACATGTGGTAACTTTAGCGGTAACTAGTTATATATTTATCTTTGTTAAAGTGTTTTATTAAAATTAATAGTTTAACTGTATCACAGATTACAATTGAAATATTGCAAACAATTTCGTATTTCCTTACATCTTTATTTCTTATTTTTATCAATTAGATATACTGCTTACTTACTATTAATACAGGTGACTCATCATAGAGTCCTTTTTATGTTTAAAGTAAAATTTCTAATTAAATTAGGTTGCATAGTATAATATATCTACCTATGTCTATATCTAAGGCATATTTTTTAATGAAACAAGGATGTTTTTACAGGCCGAATCCACGTAAAGGTCATGGTTGCCCGTGAACTTAAAAAGTAATGAAATGAATAGAGGAAATTGCGTAAAAATGAATCTTTTCGAACAGATGCGGATATGGGTCAGCGACTTCGGGCATTGCCCGTTCAAGCATGAGGCGAATGTTGTTGCATTATTTGAAACTTTATCCTTGCTAAGATCATTTCACTAACATTTGATATATCATTATTAAATCTTTATTTATCGAACCATCCTCTTTATTGTTGAAACACATTTTTATATCATCGATTTTATCAACAAGCTAAAATGCCGATATTCGTATACAGACCAATGATCGTGTAAACATCAAAAGTCGCTTCTTTGCCAAAAAAAAAATGCAATTTGATGGGATATAATAATATTTATTTCTTTGAAAATATTCGCGGTCAATTTGTATCTATTATTAGTAGCTACAAACAATAATGGATGTTATTGTCAATGCTTAGAGATTTTTTACGTTCACAATTTGAAGATTTTGATGTCAAGTCAATGATTTGTTTTTAGATAGCATTATCTATCAAATATGCAACATCAGAATAGACGTCATATGGGAAATGTTTGTACTGATATGTATCATAATCATCTACTATGCAAAATGTTATATTAAGTACCTGTGTACATATATAATGCAAATAGGTGTATTAAAACATTACCCATAAACTGTTTAGATTAATTTTAATTTTTAATACATTAACAACATTACGCAGAATTTTGATGTTTGTAATTAGCTAATTTATTTTATAAGTTGTTGGTAATAAATATTTCATTGTATGTAAATATATCAAAATATGTATACTAAATATATATAATGCAAAGAACAAGGACTAATATGCGTGAAATAATTCTCTATACAGGCGCGTACATTTGGGACATCATTTACTAATTAGGGTCTAGGCCTGTAAAATAGTTTATAACGAAATCTGTGCTTTCTGGTTTTAAAGTACCCCAGAGTAACATTAATTTTCTATATTTAATATATTATACACATATTTTCTTCTTGAAATAATTAACTTTACTAAAGATAATTATCAATAGATACTGTATAGCTAAATCTATTAAAAATGCTAAGACTGCCGCCTTGAGAAAGACCGTACATGACCGACTAATACCACGCACGTTTGTTACATAAGTGAATAACAGTTTTACATTTATTAAAAGGTAGATCTAATATATATTTCGATATCTTATTATAACATTGAATGCCAAGTTTGTACTTATGTCTAGAATGTAATGAAATGGAACTTAATTATTAATTTATTGATCGCCATTAATATGTCATACACACATATCATTAAATTAATAATTAATTAAAATATAATAATGCCTAAGTTTATAAATGAATATACTACTATTATAAGGTATTAATTAAAATAAATACTATTATCAATTATTTAAAAACTAAAACATATTTTAAGCTTATTCTCATAAATATCAATAAAGTAATCAGAAAAGAGAAGCATCATAATTAATTATTAAGCACTGTTTACCATGTTTTTATAAATACATTAGTAAGAACCTTAATTTAACGATATGTGTATATAAAATATTATTGGCGAAGTCGTGAAATTTATTAATTGTGAAATATGTACATAGTCGAGTTCTAACTCACTGATAGTAAGTGATGATTACGGGATGATTTTTTGGCTATTAATTTATTTAGTAAATCAGACTCAGGTATTACTGTTTTTTTTTTTAAATTTTAATTATAGCTTATTTATATCGACCTACCCAAATTAATTATTTGTAAATTTCGATAGGTTGATATAAATAAGTTGTTGTTTGTTGATATAATATCTATTAATTATTTATAATGTAAATATTTTTAAATTATTATCTGTTATTTAGTCCTTTTAATTCATCTCATCAATTTACTAAAAAGTTTTCTAAAAGAAAACTCTTAGCGTTTTTGTTTTTAATGTTCTCTCTATTAAAAGAGAATTTATTACATAATAATTCTGTAATTCTGCTTTTTGTGTACATACAGTAAAACATAAATAAATAAATTTAATTGAAATAACGTGACTTACCCGCCGGATATAACGTAGTGGTCGTGGAATCAATTAGTAGGGATCAACTTATTGGCTGTTATTATTAAGAGATTAACACAAGCGCTGCGTGAGATGATGACGCGGCGTAGAGGAACACTCAAATAATAGCATTAATTCTCGTTTGTTACAACTACAGCGTCATTCATAATGTATTATTAATATATGTTTGTTATAGGAATAACATTCATATTATTTATTTAGTAATAATTATATGACTAGCATAAGAGAAAATTTCAATAATAACAATAACACTAATTTAAAACATTCTGTAACATAAAAGAACTCTATGGTTAGTAAAAGTACTTAGAATAAAGAATATTCTATTTTAATCTACATTTTGATTATCGGTTTACTGAATTTTATTCAAAATAATTTAGTCAATGTTTCATATTCACAGTATTGTTATTATCCTTATTAAAACCATTTTAAGTCTGTTACTAACAAAATGAATCATTGTTGTCGAAATAAATATATACATATTCGTAGATAGAAGGGTAATAATTTACTATTGGGAGAGTGTGCGAGTTAGTACACATACCTACATCATTCCGGATATCTTGTCAAATCGCTTTTATCCGTGCGATATCTCCGGTGTACATTTCAGGTTCTACCCATTTGCACCGTACCCTCATGGGACTAGGTGGTTTCCGTCTTAACATAACAAAAGAAAACAAAAAAAGTTAGCACTTTGCATGTTAATGGAGGGTTATGAATAATACAGACAGTTCATGAAATCGACGAACAAAATATCTACAGAACAGAATGCCTATAGCTAATGTCAACAATTAGAAAATTGAAGTTAAGACGCCATCCTAAATCAATATTCACATGAATTTAAACTATAACTTATCACGTGATATTAACTAAGTAACAACTTAATGTAAAGTCCATAATCGGCATCAAAATGAAATATATAATAATATATAGTATAATAAGCTAATGAAATAAAATTCTGAGCGTCATTTGGAGTGATAAGGCTCTTGGCGGCGTCGCATTCTGGTCTCTATAAATATAAGCGTTGACGTACAGTACTGCACAAAGATATATTTATCCTGATAAATATTTCTATCATTTTCGTACGTACTATAAAAGAAGTAAACAACTTTTTTTTATTATATACAGTACATATAGAGGCGAAATCTTTTATAAAAAGTTGAGCCAACGCATTGATAGGGGCCATGATCACCGTTTCGGTTCGTATCTGGCTCGAAGGATATCTCTGGCGTACTAACATAGAAATGCTGCGAGGGTTATGGAGACCTTTAAAACTCGTACAGAACGTGAAGATTATTTTGACTAATTGTTAATTTAATTTGTTTTTGTTTAATTAATTTTTCACATTATTAATATTTATTTTGGTAAATTTAAAAACTGTAACATAAATTTTATGTCACAATGTATGTAAATATAAGAAATATATACAGTTTAATTGTTTACAAATAATGCAAAGATATATAAGTAAAAAGTATTATTTTCATTTGTAATTTGTTTATTTTTTTCTTTAAATGTAAATGGTTACAGTAATAAGTTTTAAAAATAATAATACTACAGGAATAAGCTAAACATTGTAAAATAAATTATTTATTTGACAATATTTACCTGTGATGTGTAATGTGAATGTTAAATTCAACTCTTCGATACTTAAACCTATGTGTGATTATAGCAAATAAGTAGATAGTCCACATAGTAAGTAGTAACCGTCATTTTTTTTTATGGAACATAATGGAATGGTACCCATGCCTGCGCTAACGGCGTACGCTGGCGGATCACTAGTGAGGGATGATAGGTGAGAATGAAAAAGCAAGTCAGTTAGTCCATCGGGATGAATACATCTGGAATATAGCATGATGGTTTCCACGGGCAACCACGTGGAGGTCGACCTGATAGGGTATATTGCTAGCAATGGGACTGGAAGTCCGCATTACTAACAATTCTTTCTCCCATAACCGTCATCTAAAGCCAGGTACCGCAAAATAGGATACTTTTTGTACTAATACTTTATCATTCTTCTTTTGGAAGTCGCTTAAAAATATCTTATTATAAATTATTATAAAAAGTCGCATTTTAACCGTTAATATAATCCGAACATATCATTCTTAGCAATAGCACAGCAATCCCTTGGCTGCAAAGTTTTTCAAATTCATGCAAGTTCTTGCAAGTTATACGTCCCGATCTAAACTACTAGTGACCTGTATTTACTTTACATTTTTTTTTTATAAAATACAGTCCGTGTTACAGTATTTT